CCATTTCCTACAAGCGATTTTCCGCGAATTGCCTCTATTATGTCCAATTATCGGCTCGGATGAAGGAAGACGTATTCTCGACGAGACGAGCCTGCCTAGAAACTGAAGGGAGAGTGAAAGTAATAGTATTTTTATCAACTCTTCCAGTTAACCCTTTATAAAAAAGATCACGAGTAAATAAATTTTCCAAATATTATTATTATATCATTATTAATAATTAACTCCATTGCGTTAAACGAAATCGAAAAATTATGTAATCGATTCCTTCCTTCGTGCAACATCATAAAAAATGAAAATTTCCTTAAAAATTAATACAAAGAGAAATTAATAATTTTGGAATATTTAAAAACTCGACAAAAAATTTTTTTCTCCTTTTCGAAAGTGATAATATTATCAAACTCTGTAGAAATAGAGAAACGATTTTACTCAATGATAATAAATATTTCGTGATTTCGCACAAGTTTCGTAAGTCTAGATAAAAAGAAAGGCAAGTAAGAGGGAGGGGAGAGGAGGATGAAAGAAATTATCGGTCGAGTTTGGTACAGATAAGTGGAAAGAAACGAAGACACTGGAGGCAGCACGTTGTCCAGGCGCACGAACCGTTCTGGTCCTCGAGGTCGTCGTGGAGAACGGTTGAACGATCCTCGAAGCAAACCTTGTTTGCAGCATTTCTCGTTGCCTAAGCTACCTTTGCCAGAGCGAGGGAAACGCCGGCCAATTAAGCCTCTTCTTCCCTGCGATCGACAGCCACTCGCGTGACGCGTCGTTTCGCCCTCGACATCTCGAGTGTCTCATTTGATAGCCTCTTCTTCGGAATTGCTCGCGCTCGACTTTTGTCCCGGGATATTTTTTCCCAACTTTCTTTCTCTTTGCTGCACTCCACCATCCCCATGATTTTATTAAATTTCCTTTTTTTTACTCGATCTAGAATTCTCTAGAAAGAGTCAGGACCGGGGATTAGGCTAACAGGTGGGTAAAAATCACTTGGATAAGTTGCTCGGATAATTTATTATTCAAAGCATCGAGTAAGGATCGTAATTAACTCGAACCAGGAGTAAATATAATTTTCACTCGAGCAGTTTTATTCAAGATATTTTGAAACTGATTAATTTTTACGTTAAATGCTTAATTAATGGTGTTAAATTCATTTGGATCGGATAAACGATGTAACGGTTTAAATAAAAAGGAAGTAAAAATCGAAGATTTTCTGCATCGTTTAAAGATTAAAGATCGTTTTAAGAAGATGAAATTTGTTAAAAATGTGTGACATTGTTTATTTAGAATATACTGTATTGAAAAATATTTGTGTTATTAGTGCAATCTCTTTCTTAATCCGTATCATTTTCGTACGATATAATTTACTCTCGTTTATTGTCCGTTCGAAAGTTCGAAGCACGTAAAAGTATCCACTCGACGAGTTTTCCACCGTTTCTTTCCGAAGAGATTCGAGTCTCTTCGAGTGGCTCCTGGCGGATTCGGCTAGCCTTTGAAATTAAACCCTCGATTTCTTTTGATCCCGCCCCAATTCTTCCGCCCCTCAAGTCTCGAAGAGTATTCGATAGTTGTTACATGCTCGACTCGAAACTGATCTTTCTTTCTTCCTTTTCTCTTCTCGCTTGTTTCGATTTGTGTGTTGTATTAACGTTTAACGTTCTCGACAGTTTTGGAGTCGATCGAATTTAGGAATGGAATAGAGGGTTGAGAAAGATTCTTTTAGAATCTTGAATATTCCGTACAATTTGAATTATTAGCTACGATTCGTTCGTAAAAAAAAAAAAAAAAAAAGGAAGGAATTAACGATAAAAATATTTAATAGTGGGGAGTAATGTTCAGATAAGAGATAAGTGAAATTATTATTGGCAAATTTTTTTTTTTTACAAAATCGTCAATTTATCCGGAGAAGATAAATGATAGGAAAACGATATTCAATCTGCCAGGTGCATTTTTCCATGTGGCACGTGGATGACAGGCAAATCGACGTCTACAATACTGGGACACCTACAAATTTTGATCATGTATCCCTCACAAATATGTATTCCTCGTGATTTATTAACTGTCACTCGGAGAAGATCAATTTTTAAATAAATATCTCGATATGCAATTTCTCTAAGCTTTCCTGATTTCTAAAAAAAAAAAAAAAAAAAAAAAAAAAA